CTCTCTCCTCGTCTCATGGGATTTCTTACCACCATCCCTCTTGGAATTCATGGTAATAAATTCTTTCTGTATATCACACTGGGCATAGATTGGGGGTATCTTGGACCACTACCTGGTTATTCACATCAGTGAGGTAAAATGGTCCTGCCTCTTTTTTGAACTGTCTTGAATACTTTATTTGGCCAAGTGTGATTTGACACACAAGACATTTGTCTCAAATGCAGAAGCTCTCAGTGTATACGCAAAGCAACAGAGTAATTATAATCACAATAATAATACCAATAAGAGGGGGGAGTGAGAAAGATAATAAGAAAGATCAGTAATAATGCTACAGCCATATTACGTGGGTAAATATACATAGACATTAGACAGCACTGGGAGAATTAGGTGTTCAGCAGATTGATGGCACAAGGGGACAAAAACCTGCCCCAGTGAATAATTATTAGGGCCTGCAATGCCCTGTACCACCATCCTGAGGGAAGGAGCTGAAACAGTTTATGTTCAGGGTGTGAGGAATCTACAGATATCTTCTAAGCCCTCCTTCTGACCTTCACAAAAGACAAATCTTCTATAGAAGGCAGGCTGGTTGCAATTGTGGTTTCTGCAGTCTTAACTATCAGTTGGGAGTACCTGTTCTGCTTAATTATTGTACCTAAATCAAAATTAAAAAACAACAACAGGTAATTCTGGAACTTTATTTCTGGAGACAGGAACTCTGCATGGTCATTTTTAGCAGTGCTCAATTCCCAGAAAATGTCAGGGTGCACTCCCTGATTGTGCGTACTTCCTGATAATTTTTAAAACTCACTCTGTGTTAGGACTCCGACATGCACCCCCATTCAAATCATAAGTCTCTAGCTGCATCTCTCAGAGTAAAGAAGATTGATTTATTAGGCGTTGACATGTCAGGTTTCCAGGTTGCAGTCGACTCTGACACATCATTCATTTCACCCAAGACCTCGGTCTTCCCCCCACCCCCTGGACAAATCCATAGTCAATGAGACACATCCATAGCCAAGAATCATCAATTATGCTCTCCAGTAATAATTTTGCGCACCAGAAACTTCGGTTACCAAAGTGATTATCTGAAGCCTTTAAGGAATGCACTGCTTTCCCCCTTCCCTTTCTGTTGACAACTACAAAGAAGTGTTTTTTTAGTTTGCATTCTGTCTTATTTATGGGATATTATGGGAACAGAGGCATTATAACAGATTTCTATTTGTAACACTATTTGCAATAGCCATTAGAATTTTTCCATCTTTTTTTTTCTTACCATAATGATTGGTAGCATCAGGAAATGGCCATCTAAAATTACTCTTTATTTTACTACTCTGTCCTAACATCAGATGAATTCTGTTCTGCTTTTTTCATTCATGGGGGATCTTTGATCGCTGATGCTGTCTTCAGGAGGAGTGCTTTGCGTAACATACAGTGTAGCTGTGGGCAGCGGTGTCTCCTACTTCCAATACACAGATATTGATTCGGGCAGGAATATCTTCATTGTGGGCTTCACCATGTTCATGGGACTTCTGGTTCCAAAGTGGCTATTTGGAGCACCTGGATCCCTTACTACAGGTACTGGCTGTGGGGTGAAGTGGGGTAAGGATTTCTACATGCTCAAAGCTTTAAGAAGTATAGCAAGACAAATGAAAAAGGCATGATTTTTTAAAAACCAGATGTTTTATTTTAATGACTTGTTTCATTCCCAACCAACAAGTCTATTTCTAATCCTGGCCTATAATAAGAGTTATAATCAAAATATCTTAAATCAGCACATTTAAACTCTGCCTGTGTTAATACATTCTACAAGTAAACTAGAATTTAAAAAGAAATAAAATCACTCTTAAAAGTCACTGAAACATGTTACTTTCCCAAGAAAGTACATGTGTGAACTGAGTCTTTTAATTGCAAGTAATTCTTTATGAAGTTATAATAATGAGAACACTTAGAACCATCAAACAATTAAGTGTTCCTTGATTCAGGCTGCTGAACTAAGCTATACTGAAATTAAATGAGTTTAGATAAATTGTTCAAGATGTTATCTTTCCCATATGAAGCTTCCTAAGTATGAAGATGTGCAGATTGGGCTTTATTTGTGTTATCACTCATTCTGTGGAGATTTAGATCTTCCTGGCTATAGGATTATTCTTTAGGAATTCCCTTTCAAATGTAATTGCTAGGCAAAAGCTCTATTTCAGCAAATATCTTTTTTTTTTGCCACTTCTCTTTTTAATTCTTTGCTTTTGGATTAAATTCGATCAACGCGGGAAATGTTACATATAAAACATCAGGACATGACATTGTTAAATTAATAATGATGCTCTTTCTACAGGCTATATCCCATTAGACCTCTTTCTGCTTTCTTTGTTGATGGTTCCTTCTTTTATAACTGGATTCCTATCCTTCTTCTTAGAAAACACAGTCTCAGGTGAGGAGACAGATTTACTTATTCTGATGAGTTATTGAGACAGGTTTTCTAAAGTTACTCATAATTTAATGTTATTTAATGTCAGAGGACAATAATTGTTGCATGTAAAATATTTATATTTATGGCTATTCTGGTAAGACTTTTGGATTAGTCACATTGCTGAAAATTCTTTGTATATTTATTGATTAGTGGGAATAACTGTTAATTGTAAGCTTATTGGTATTTTGATTGTTATTCTGAAGGTTGTTTTCTCAAAGTTTTTTAGAGATGGGACATAACTGTTGCATTCTTTGAACAGAAGCATACTTGCCTAGACTATAAGATATACTGTTCTCAGTTGAGTCACCCTTTTAAAAAATTCTCTCCTGAAATGTTAGCAAGGTATTGTTATCAAAGGCAGCAAGTCAAAACAATTTTTTTACCAAATTTAGATACATTTGATTTTTAGCTGTTTATGGACTTCTTTTATTTGCTTACAACAGCACTTTCTGGCTAATTCAGTTTTAACATTGCAAACTGCTTTGAGGGTCAAAAGATGCAATTTATATTATTGTACAAACAATGAAAAAGATGTGGAGCCATAATACTCAAAGATAAAATTTCATCATAATTACAACTTATATTTATGGATATTTTGAATTGATGTGATCATTTTTTCAAGGTACTCTGCAAGAGCGTGGACTACTCAACCCTTTGTCAACAAGAAATTTAGAAACTGGAAGCAACTCGCTTCAACACAGAAAGGATGAGGATTCTGCACAAAGATGTAAACTACCTTTAAACCCACAAAGGCATTGGCCGCCAGCATGGTGTAAAGGGTTTCCTTTCTGTCTTCTCTGTTCCCTTGAGAAAAGCGAACAGGAAACTATGAATCATTATCCGTTATCTGAAGAACTGCACCATTTAGATGAAGAAACCACAGATCTACTGGTGAAAAGGGAAACCGTGAAACTAGAATCAGAAATAGAGCTGGAAACAGAAAAAGAATTTAAAATTATGCAAGGGAATTTGGAGAATCATAAGCATGGTAGATCAGTGGTTCATGAGATAATTCCTCTCTGTTGATTTAAAAATAATCCTTTTTCCTATAAAAATATTCTACAAAGACTATATAAATTACTTTGAAATTTCAAACATTTTGTTTGCAAACTACCTTGGGGACAAAAATAATGTGACAATCTTAAACATGTATTTTAAAATTCTTCCTTCAGCATTTCTTTCCCTGAGCTATTTGTTCGGTTATTTCCAACTTCCCAACTTCCATTAAGATATTTTATTTTTCTGCTTGAGTGAATAGAGTTACTCCACACTAAAGTGGACAGTGTACAAACCTAGACCAGAATTCTGAGCCCAATTATATTAAAGTGCTTATACTGGATAATGAATCTGATAAGGTTTTTTGTATTTCTCCTTCATTTTTAAGTATCTAAATCTGTAATTATTCAATGAAAACTTTTGACACTCAGATTGCCTAGTATTAGAACAAAGGTATTTCTCCCAGTGCTGTCAGATTATACTACGATCATCTTTGTTGACTTAGGCTGAAATTTTCTCAAACTCCAATAATTCTGAAGGTTCTACACACTGCAATTATGTATATTGGGTTTTACAATAAAAATGTAATTAATGATTTTACATATTTTAAAATGCATAAAATATAGAAAACGTAACAGCACAAAACATAGCTTATCAGATCTGAGCTTCAAAAATCTGAATTTAAGTGTCAACTAGAAGTTGTGTAATTTTTCCAGCCAAGAACTGGCAGTACACGTTGATGAAGGAGGAAGGATTTACAGTATGCTAATGTAGTGACAATTTCATTTTGGGGTTATTTTCCAACAGCTTGGAACATTTTTTTCACACAGGACCATTTTTTTAAACAAGTGAGTCACTTATCAAGATCCTTTTATCTGGTCAATCCCTCAAGTTTATGAATCAGAAAGAATATCTGTACTAGATTTAGACAGCATTTTTTGTTTTGTTTTGGTTCTGCTTTATTTTGCTCTTTTAAACGAGTAGCACATTACAGCTAAAATGCTAAAACGTTTCCATTTTTGTTTCCGGATTAAAGCAGAGCTTTCTTTTGGGACCGCTGGACTAGCGCAGGCTGCATCTTTTTTGGTTCTGAGCTTTACTATTATTTTACTACAGGCGTCCAGGGGTTATGTTCGTGCCCACTTTTAGTCGCAGGAGCCAGAGGAGTCAGGTAGTAAACAGCCTCAAGGTGCAGCAGGAGCAATAGGATTATTTCCAGCACCTTTCCACGCTTCCCACTGAGTAATCCCAGACATATTAGTCCTGCGTGCGGAGAGAGTCTGTCTGTTGTATGCTTATAAGGCAGGACAGCCAGCAAAGTACAGAAGTGCAATATTTGAAGTATCTTCTCCTGTCTCCACGTCGCTAATTCTTAAACAAACAAATAAACGCAGCACTGCCCACCCTGTCCTACATTGTTGACTCAGCGGCGTCCATTTCCATTTAACCAGAACTTCCGGTACGCCTTGGTAAGATGAGAAGGGAATTGTGGGAATGGTAGTTTCTAACTGCTAAACCCTTTGGTAAGGCTGCATCCGGGTGGAGTAGAGTATGGCTCTTGGGAAACGCTGTTTTAAAAACCCCTCCTCGCGGTTGCAGTTCTACCTTTGTTGACAAAATGCTGTGAGAGCAAAGCCAAGGGAGGCTTTGTTGTTGCGACCTGTCTTTGGATCTTCCTTCCCGTTACTTGACCTTGCCGGTAGGATTTTTCCCCCTTTCTTTTCTTTTCCTAGCTCCTTTCCCTGCTTCATTCCCACATAGGTCTTGCCTTTTCCTTTTCTTGGAAACGTTTGGTGCGACTTACTCAGGTTGAGTCCAGCCTGAAATAATCTCAACATCTGTTGGTCTCAGAATATCTCCAAATTTCTCCTCAAAGCCGTACTGCCTGTACATGCAAATTTTTAGATATTTCCCCCCACTCCTCTTTCTCATCATTCTCATCTTTTGCTTCCTCGCCACAAGTTTTAGAGACTTTGAATACTGTGTACAGGTAGTCTTCGACTTACAATAGTTCATTTGGAGACAGTTCAAAGTTGCAACAGCACTGAAAAAAGTGACTTATGACCGTTTTTCACACTTACGACCTTTGCAGTATCTCCATAGTCGCAGGATCAAAATTTGGATGCTTAGCAACTGATTCATATTTATGACAGTTGCAGTATCCCAGATCATTTGATCACTTTTTGTGACCACCTTACAAGCAAAGTTAATGGGAAAGCCAGATTCACTTAACAACCAGGTTATAAACTTAACATCTGCAGTGATTCAACTTAAAAACTGTTGCACAAAAGGTCATAAAATGGGGCAAAATTTACTTAACAAATGTTTCACTTAGCAACAAAAATTTTGGACTCAAATGTGGTTAAGGATTTTGAATTGGTCTATAAAATGACTAAGGATTTTGGAGGTTTTGAAAGGAAAGCAGTTATATAAATCAAATATTTCTTTCTCTGGTTTACTTCCCCTGTTTTTAGTCATTCAAATCCAGCATGGCTTAGATTGTTTATTTCTTTATTTTTGTTTTCAGTTGCTGCCCCTTGATTATAGAGTTACCCTGGATGTATTTTCAATCAAACTAATTTGACAGGATTTAATTTGAGCTAATGAAGAACTAGTCAAACCGCCCTACACTGTCAAAATGTGTAATCCTAGGCATGTCACTTCTTAATCAAATTGTATATGATCAAGCTAGAAATAATTATATTTTTAGAATGTATATTGCTGGGTGAGCTATTGTAAACAATGGAAACACAAATAGCAGTCTGTTATTCTTGCTGTTCTACAGGCTGAAAGTTTCTGATTTTTTATCTCCAAGCTTTATCCCTGTTTTCATTCACCACTTTTTAAAACATGCTTGGTGTACCTTTTATAATGTGGTGTGCTTTATTGTTTATTTACAATATTTTATGTTGCTTTTCATTAAAAGAATGTCAAGGTGATTTGCGGACAAAATGAAGAAAATAAAAGTAACTAAAGTAAAACGAACATAGAAAACATGAAACAGTAAAAATAAAACTGATTACAGTAAAGCACTATAACCAACAGTTGTTAGATCAGATGACTTTCAAAGGGGAGATCTGGGGAATATCTGGAGGCAACTCCCTAAATTATTAATGTTTATCAAAAGTTTGTAAAACTTTCATATAGGGAACTGCTAAATTCCCATTAGAAGTATGTAGTACCGGATTGTAAAGCATCATCAGAACATAATTATTCTGTAGGCTGTGCCTACAGATTACCAACTACCATTTTCTCTTAGAACACAGGGATCTATCTGGCAGTGATAATTAAAATTATATCTAGGCATTAGTTTGTGATTACAAGAATATATGCTATATTTAATGCTGCATGGTTTTGTATCTATTTATGCCAAGAAAAATAAACAAAAAAATGCAGGCAGGTCTGGAATAAGTCATGTTATATATCTGAACTTACAATACATTGAGAGCTTTTAATGAATTATACCAGAATTCAGAACACTTTTTTAGAATGAAAACTCAGACCTTCATCTTCAATATAAAAATCTACATTCTAAAGCTACATTTTCCTATACTTTGGCATGCTGTGATAGGTGTTTGCAGTGCATCTTCAATTTATAACATATTTAAAGAAATAAAATCGAATGACATGATTGTTTACAGGATGGAGACTTCGGATGATCCACAGATTGAACTCCTTCTGCAGCCTTGGGCTTCGGTTTGTTTTTCTGAGCCTACCAAACTGATGGCTAAGGCTTGGTTTTGTGATTCTAGCTATATCTTGCTCCTCTCTGACCTCAGTAATATGTGGTATGAAAGTGCAAATACTGAAGTAATACAACAGAGGTCAAAGGTAAGTAAAAAATTAAAATTATGAAATGATCATTCAGGATACTTTATTCCAAAGGTAGTCCTCAATTTATAACTGTTCATTTAGTGACTATGCAAAATGACAAAGGCACTGGAAAAAAAGGCTTACGACCAGTTCTCCCATTTACAACTGTCTCAGAATCCCCAAAGTCACATGATCAAAATGAGAGCTTTCGGTAACTGGCACATATTTATGATGACTGCAACATTCTGCAGTCATGTGATCACCATTTGAGACTTTCCCAGATGGCTTCCAGCAAGCAAAGTCAATAAGGAAAGTTGGATTCACTTAATGATCTCATGATTCACTTAACAACTGCAGAAATTGGGTGTGACTCACTTGCCTTGCTGAGCAATGTCAGTTCTAGTCCCAGTTATGGTAATAAGTCGAGAGTTACTTCTTTTCCAGTTTGATGGTTCCCAGATGTATTGGAATATAACTTGAAAAATTCACAGCCTGTATGATATTGGATAGTAGAAGTTGTAATTTAGGACAGTGGTCCCCAACCTTTCTGGCTTGGTGGATGGGCGGGGAGGGAGAAGAGATGGTTCTGTGTTAGTGGCAGGGATGCCCACTAGCATATACAGCTCCCTTTGTGCAAGCGGTGTGCGTGCACCTCCTCCGCTTGCACAAATGGAAATTCACTCACAAGAGGGCGAGCCTGCCGTTCGTGCAAGTGGAGCTGCATGCATGCTCTTTCCCGCCACTTGTATGGCCTTGTTCCGAATGGGCTGTGGCCCCAGGGTTGGGGACCCAGTGGTGGTATTCATCCGGTTCGCACTGGATCGGGTGAACCGGTAGCAAGAATTTGGCATGGGTCGCGGAACCTGTAGTAAATTCTGGCTGGCCACGCCCCCCACTTGGTCGCCTTCCTGCCCAATGCTCACTCACCCTGCCCACCTGCCTGACATTCGCCTAAGGTATTTCTTTCTTTTTTTCCCCCTCCTGATAATCAGCTGTAGATAAGATCAGCTGTGCCGGGATTCCCCTTGCTGAGGCCCAGGAAGGCGAACAATGGAGGGAGGAGCTCAGGCCCCCCCCTCCATTTTTTGCCTTCCAGAGCCCCAGAGAAGCCTTAGGGGAGCAACAACGCCCCCCCCCCCCCGAGGCTTCTCTGAGGCTAGGAAGCGCCCAAAAACGGGTGGGGGTTGCAAAAAAAGCCACACCCACCCAGTCACATGGCCACGCCCACAGAACCGGTAGTAAACGTTTTTGAATCCCACCACTGTGGGGACCTCTAGTTTAAGATATCCAACCAAGGATGGGCGGTGGGGGGGGGGGAAGCTGAAAAAAACTGATGACTCTACTTCAGCGGGTGTGCTATTAACCTAAGTTTAAAGGAAAATCCTAAGAAAAGGAATCTGCAGAGAAGTAATTCTGAATTACGAGAAGCAGATGCTACATAAATTGTCATCTTGTTTCTCCACTTCACTAGGAAAAAGTCATCCAGGTCATCCAGGTCTGAAATGAAATTATAAAATGAAATCAATGTGTTATTCCTGAAACAAACTAATTATTAAGAAAGATGGTCCAATCTGTACAAAAAAAATGTAGTTTTTGAGAATATTGCTTCTGGATTGGGCAGAATAGGATTTCTTTAAAAAGGAAATGATTGAATCCGGTCTTCCAGCGATGTCTTAGCTTGGACAGTTTAGGTGCTTACATATACAGCTATGAAATGAGATTATATTATGTTCTTTGAAGAATATTATCATGATTATTTCATTTTATGTAGGAGCTGAATAAACGGCTAACTGCTCCTGTAGCCTCCATCCTGAACTGCCTGCGCAACCTGTTATCTCCTCTTCTGGAAGGGAAAGAAAACAGCTCTGTCTCCTTCTCCTGTCAGCTTAGCTCCAGCACATTGATACTCCATATGAAGAGTGAACTTCTAGGGTTGCCCTTCTACTGGGATTTTCACTGTGGGGCAGCACCTCTTGAGATGGTGAGTTGAAGAATGATGTTTTCAGATAGGAGAACAAGTTGAAAATGTTTGCTCTAGGGACATGGTGATGTTTGGCTATCAGAAGGTTCCTAAAATCTCCTTGGATTTGGAATTGCTGCATAGGCACAAATTAAAGACAATATTGATGTAATATATTGGAGTGCCACTTTTCTATTTGTAGCTTTGGGTTCAACCCTGCCTGTTGGAAGATGCTCCAGTTCTGCTAGTAGTAAATGGCTTATTTACCTATGGTTTACTAAATAGCCTACAATTGGCTTTCATATAACACGCAAAGTCAAGATAAAGCAAACCTTATTAACTAAATGAGTCATTGTGATGTTTGGAGCAAAGCTACACTGATTATCAATTGTCAGAAGATCATCAATTGTCAGAATAGTGTTTTTTAGTGTAATACAGAACTTAGTGTACAAACAGAAATATGGAGATTTTATACATACAGGTGTGTTTGTGTATCTCTATGTTTTTACACTTTGTACTATACATACATATACATACATACATACATACTTATATATATTCTTGTTGAGTTATCTATCTGCATCTGTACAGCTTCAAATCCACCTCTGTGCAGAAGGCAGAATATATGTATGTATGTATGTATGTATGTATGTATGTATGGCATTCAGCTTTGTTTGGGTATTTTCCCACGTCATAGTAGTTGTGCTTTTAAAGTTGTAGCGACGTTTCGGCAGAATCTCATCTGCCATCATCAGGCTTCTGTATAGTGTTCATCTGTGAGTCAGGCTTTTACAGTGGTTTCAGATTTGAATTTGGGGCAGCCTACTGCTGTGCCAGAATGGTTTTTTCTTCATCCTGATTGGTTGAGAGTCTTGGTCTGTGTTTATTGGTCTTGGAGTTTGCTGTGTTCTGCTTGATTGGTGTTTTTAATATCTTCTGTCAGTTTATTTGGCTTCCAAATGATTGACAGTCTGGTGGAATCATCTCTTCTGTTCATGCTTTCTGGTCTTTTTTCAATCTCTATGGCTTCTCTGATGATTCTGTGGCTAGGGTTTTGGAGCCATTGAAGTTGATTTCACCAGACTGTCAATCATTTGGAAGCCTGCACTCACAAAAAAAAAAATCTCCACACCACAAGCCAGGCAAACACCAGGGCACAAACAGATCCCCCCTGATACCTCCAGCTCAAACACACCCCCACCAGGCACCCAGATGAAACCTAGCTTCCTAACTAATGATAGCCGTCCATTTACCCGGAGCCAAGCTGCACTAAAGGCCTCCAATAAAGTAACACAATGTTGCCAGCCAATCAAGATACAAAAAGAGCCAAATAAACTGACAGAAGATATTAAAAACACCAATCAAGCAGAACACAGCAAACTCCAAGACCAATAAACACAGACCAAGACTCTCAACCAATCAGGATGAAGAAAAAACCATTCTGGCACAGCAATAGGCTGCCCCAAATTCAAATCTGAAACCACTGTAAAAGCCTGACTCACAGATGAACACTATACAGAAGCCTGATGATGGCAGATGAGATTCTGCTGAAACGTCGCTACAACTTTAAAAGAACAACTACAATGACGTGGGAAAATACCCGAACAAAGCCGAATGCCATACATGTAAGTACCCGTGAAAACTTAAGAAAACACACACACACACACACACACACACACACACATATATCTATATCTATATCTATATCTATATCTATATATCTATATCTATATCTATATCTATCTATCTTTGGTTATTCGGGTTTTCTCCCGCGTAAGATTGGAAGTATCTAGGCAACGTTTTGATGAAGTCTCATTCATCATCTTCAGGCTTGTGTCTTCGGCTTTGTGCTTCTTGGAATAATGTGAGCTTGCAGCTGCTTCTTCCTTTTAACTGCTAGTGGGTGTGTGACTTGATTGGGTGGGGAAGTAAGCCCCCACCTGAACAGAACACCCCCCCAGTCAATCAGAACACAGCCAGCCCCCCAACCAATCAGAACATAGCCAAACCTCCAACCAATGAGAACACACCCCCACCCAATCAGAACACAGCCAAGCCCCCACCCAATCAAGTCACACCCCCACTAGCAGTTAAAAGGAAGAAGCAGCTGCAAGCTCACATTACTCCGAGAAGCACAAAGCCGAAGACACAAGCCTGAAGATGATGAATGAGACTTCATCGAAACGTTGCCTAGATACTTCCAATTTTACACGGGAGAAAACCCAAATAACCAAAGATACATATACATATACATATACATATACATATACATATACATATACATATATATGTAGGTCTAGGTGTGTTCGGGTCTTTTCCCATGTAAGATTAAGAGTATCTTGGCGACGTTTGGGCAAGGTCCCACTCTGCAGTGAATTGGGAGACAGACAAATTTCATACATACATACATACATACATATATATATATATATATACATACATACATACATGTGGTAGAGAGAGGTTCCCTGAGGATGGGCTCCAGCACAACTGAAAGCTTGGAAGACTAAACCTCTGGTCCCGGCGATTGACCCAGATTGTATCCTACAACATTATCCTGGAACATGTATATTTGCCTTCACTCACAAGAGGGGATTGATTTATTCTCCAAAGCATCAAAGGGCAGGGCAAGAAGTAGTGAGTGGAAGCTTTGTTAAAGAATAATCCAATCTAGAAATCATAAGCAATTTTCTGACAGGGCAATTAATCAATGGAATACCTTGCCTCTTGGAGTTGTAGGTATGCTATTACTAGAGGTTTTCAAAAGTAGACTGGACAACCATTTGACTGGGGTGGTTTAAGCTCTCCTGCCTTGGCTAGAAGATCTTCAAGGTCCCTTCCAGCCTTATGATACTATCTTCTAAGAAAATGGCAAGTGGATGATGTTTCAAATCAACTCTGCCATAGTAAATGGATAAATATACCATACTTAATGTTTAATTACAAGTTTTAATTTTGCCGTTGGTACACCAGGGGGCACTCCATGCTCAGGTAATGTACTTTTGCTGGTTCCCAAACATCTGGATTCCTTGTATTCTAAGTTCCACTATTACACTCATATTGAAATAAGAGACATGCCTTTAAAAAAAAAAAAATAGAGAGATGTAGTGACTTCAGTATAGAACAACTTTTTTTTAGTTTTGCGATCTTGCAAGACTTGATAGTATTATTTTAAAAGAATTCTGGCCAGGCTGATTGAGGATGATTTAGTATATTAAAAAAATGGAGAGAACTAAATTGGAGGAGGCAGATCTAGAGTATTACAGAAGGATAAGAGAGGGCTGTTGGTTTTTGCTTCTTAATACATTCTTAATACATAATACTATTATTCAGGATGAAAAAGAATTTAGGATTTTTCAGGGTAAGATGAATCTTACCAACACCAATTAATATAGTAGTATTTAAAAACTATGAGTGCATAGAATAGAATAGAATAGAATAGAATAGAATAGAATAGAATAGAATAGAATAGAAT